GGTTAGTGATAGTGAGGTAAGGTGGGGAGGCGAATTGATGAGGTAGTTAGCGAAGGTGCATCGATTGAGATGGCTAGAACACCCACACTGATTTGGAGAGAAAGAAATGAAAGATTGTTAGACGAAAATGTGGCATCTCATTCCATTGAAGTGTTTTACATCAATTCTGATCACAAAACTTGACTTCATTTAGAGAACCATTGTAAACGAGGGAGGAGTATTGGATGGCTGTTTCGTCCTTGTTTGGGACTCTTCATCAGTACGCACCCCATGATCCCACCTCCCAGAGATCGAACCCAGGACTACCTACAGGTTACTAGGCAAATTTGTATACCATTCAACCACTGGAACGGAATCTAATGACCCATCAGTTCTAACTTCTGGTATCTCGTGACTCATAGCGCGACCACCCAACTTAGTGGACCCCACAATATGAAGTCTTTAACAGTTGATTTGAACCACGTAATAAGACTGGTAAAGAGGGAAGGTTGGGCTTGGCATGAGGCTAGCAACCCTATCCCGTAAAAAATAAACACCACTGCTACCGAAACTTCAAGCCTCTAGCTTGAAGTCCTATGTTCCACTAAGAACGTAAAGGAATAAAAAAAAATGGTGTGTAAACTGCCTAGTTAGAGTCGTCGAAGAGTAGAAATTCAATGGCTGGAAAGTGTTGGTTACATGGTGGTTGAAAATTGATCTCAGTGGTGCAGATCCATTCACTCTTTTTGTATAATTCATTGGATCTCTTAGATTCTCATTATTCTTTCTCTTGTACATATCACTTTTTATAGTTAATTTGCATTTCTATATTTGACTTTTTCCTAGATTTGTGTATGATTTATGAAATGTGTCACTTTGAACTGTTACATTTTTTTATGAAGTTCTACATTGAGAATTTAATTCAGGATAAATAAAAGATGATTATCAGACCAAAGCTAATTGTAAATATAAACATTTGCACATAACTGCGTATCAGATCAATTTGTTGCGTTTTGATCAGGTACACCAGAAAGATAATTTTACAGGTTAGATCACGAGCTGCCATCACACTTAGAGAACGTTTGGAAGACCAGGAAGAGTACTAGACAGCTATTTTTGTCTCAGATTGGGACTCTTCATCGGTAGCCACCTGCCGAGATTCGAACCCAAGACCTCCCGGTCACAAGGCGACCTCGTAGACTATTCACCCACTAGGATCCGATCTAACGTCTCACGAATTCCAAATTCTTCCATTTCGCGATTTATATAGCTAAGCCGTCAGCCAATGCAATCAGCGAGCTTCTGTCTTCTTACCTGACTTGGTATACCCCCCGCCTGTTTCACACCTTCTTACCAGAACTCCAGGTAACCTCCTGTATAGAGCCAGTCACTAGTGAACATCAAATTAATTACCAAGTGTTGGTGTGGTCTAACTTGTAACCAATCAATTCCCCGCAAACCGACATCTGATAGAAAAAGATAATGTCAGTACAGGTGCCAAAAGTGTACTAGAGAGAGAGAATAATTTCATATGCTTTCTAATGTGATGTGCCAGTTTGTAAGACGACGTTGATTTGAATGAGAGCTACTGACATTGGCCAAATTACCCAGGCTTAGGTCGAGTGGATGAGGGTTCCATCTTGGGACTTGTTGGCTGAAAGACGCATCTTGAAACCAATGACCCGATTTCGAAGATTATAGAAGATGGTATAAATATTCACCTCTGCCAATGGTTTTGATCTGTTTTACCTAATCTCCAACTACTCCTATTGGTTTTTAGCATTTCAACACCCCCCCCCGACTCACTCATAAACCTATACTCCGTTTAGGGTTGAGACTTATATCTTATCATTCAATTTACAACCATTATAATTATCCTCCCTCATCGTCTCTGTTTTTAAAGTATTGTGATATTTAAAAAAAGGAGTCGAAGGTAGTAGGTTACCCATACTGTAGATACATATAAATAGCTACAGCTCGTTTGGCATTTGCCAGTTTACGCCATTTCTGGCTTAGTAGACGTGATATCCGGCTGGCTGTCGACCAAATGGCAGGTGTACTGCTCAGCAGTCCTCTCTGTCCTCCTTTATGGCTGTGAGTGAGACATGTTCATTGAAAGTGGAAGACATGAAAAGACTAGCGAACTGTCTTTGAATATAGGTGTCCTCATTCTATCGCCCGTGTTAAATGGTGGTATAATAAGGTGAGCAATATTGAGTGCAGGCATCGGTTGAGTGCTAGGTAAGGAGAGGAGGTCATTCGTCAAGGCTGTGAAGTTACATCAATTGAGATGGTTAGGACATGTGTAATGCTGCTAGTGGTGGTCAAACCAAAACATGGTCTCATCAGTCAATCAAATCCACAACAGTTAGTTTAAGCCAGTCAGCCACGTAGAGAGGTGTAGACTTCCTGATTGATTAGGGTCCTCGGGATGGTCAGAACCGATGAAGGCTGGAGACAATTGGTGATTTAGCTCAAAATCTTCGTTCTCAATGGCTGGCGCAGATGCATCGACTCCTCGTGACTTGTGATATCCAATAAAAGTCTATTGTTCTTCCATATTACTATTCTTTTTGCCACATATTTTTGTTTATTGTCTCTGCTTAGAATCTTTCTCTTCTCTTGCTTTATGTGGTACATGGAGGGAGAGTGGTAACTCGAACTGCTGCACATCGATTCAGTCAGTCAGTCAGTCACTATAAAATTATCATTTTGTTCAAATGGACGCAAATATATTTTCAAAAGAGGTTTTCGACTTTCGTTGTAAAGATCCTGGAAAACACAGATTAACGTGGGGGGTTTCATACGTTCATTTTTACTATAGCTATAGATTGTGATTTGTATTCTTTAAGAAGTTGACCTCATCAAGGCCTCTTTTCCATCTGTGACGAATAAGCATTCAACTCATAGAAATCCCTAAGGAAATAGTGATGAGAGTACAATGAACTAAATAGGTAGATATATCTGTATTTACAAAACTTATTCTCCTTGATATAATCTGTCTTTGGAGTTTGAGTCAATCAATGCAGATATGGCTCATCACCTTGAGCACTCGACATTCTCCTCATATGTTCTCCTCATATGATCTCCTCTATATCACTCTCTAAGAGACGTCCCAACTCGTCGTTTCCTATCCGGCTTCCAATCGAGCGATGGCCTGTCACCCAACGGTTTCCTCAGCGTGTGCCCCGATCCATCTCCATTTTCTTCGGGATTTTTGTTGAGTAATGGCTTCTTGATTGGTTGAACATGCAGATGACATTGTCATGTTAGGGGAGGATGCTGACAAAATGCAGAGTCTTCTGAACACCTTGAGCAGCAATTTTCGTATGTTTGGCATGCGATTCACCCCTGTAAAATGTAAGATGCTGCTACAGGACTGGACTACGTTTACCCCTAGCTTAGTGATAGGGAGTGAAGTGATAGAACATGTTGACCACTTCACCTATTTTGGAAGTTGTATCAGCACCAATGGACTGATTGGCGACGAAATCTCAGCACGGATCCAGAAAACTCGGGCTGCTTTCGCTAACTTATGCCATCTCTGGCGTAGGCGTGACATCCGGCTATCAACCAAGGGAAGTGTGTACTGCTCAGCAGTTCGCTCCGTCCTTCTCTATGGCTCTGAAACATGGCCAAAACGAGTTGAAGACATGAAAAGGTTGACTGTTTTTGATCATAGATGTCTACGATCTCTTTCTCACGTTAGGTGGTATAATGAGGTAAGTAATGTTGACGTTAGGCGTAGAGTGTTGGGCAAGGAGGGAAAATCAATCGACGAGGCTATAAAGTTACATAGATTGAGATGGCTAGGTCATGTGCTGCGCATGCCTAACCATCGCCTCCCCCGATGGACGGGCATTACTAGCTGATATAGGTGCAGGTTGGAAAAGAGTAAGTGGTGGCCAAACAAAAACATGGCATCAATCCATGAGTCAGGTAGGGAGATGCAGACTTCCGGGTTGGGGCCCACCCTCGGGACTCTAAGAATCAATGACTGGAGACAATAGGTGACATGGCTCAAAATCGTTGTCAATGGCTTACGCAGATGTATTCAGTCTCTGTAATCTTTCATATTCCTTTCTACCATTACTCATTCTGTTTCACTCTTATACTTGTCAAAACTCTATTGATTCTCTTCACTCATTTTGTTGTCTACCTTTGTGTGCTATTTGGAACGTGGCAACTCGAACAGCTGCACCTCGGTGCCAAGTTCTATGTTGAATCCAGACAGACAGAGGTTGGTTCGTTGCTTACCAAAGTTTCTTGTTGCTAATTCTTTCTGATCAACCGGTCATCTGGTCTTCAGTATATGAAGCCAGCGAAGACAGCTGTTGGAAATGCTCGTTCGTTAGGCGAATGCCAAGTTTCTGACCCATATAGGCGGACTGACTGACTTAACATAGATGTTGAAAATCCAAATCTTTTCGTTTATGCTGACTGAGTGCAGAAGATTCCCAGACTGATTTCATAGTTGACGAAGGTCTTTGTTGCCTTTGCGATTCTGGTTTTGACATTCTCATCCATCCAGATGTCGGCTCTAGTGCCAGCAAAGACAGGACAACCTTTTGGAAGCCTCAAATCCTAAAGTTACTTATTATTTGAAAAGTGGTGGTCAGCACTTGAGTCAAGGATGCACATTTTCTCCTATTTGTGACTTATCTGCAAGATTCTCCCTCTTTTTATCCTAGTAACTGGTGTTTCCTTTATGACTCCTATACAACAAAACCCGTAGTTTCAATCATCAAAATGACACTATCCACTAGGCTCAAAAGGCACCTCTCCTGTTATTTTATTGAATTTTTTGTAACTCTAGTGGTTTGCTTAAGCTGTGAACGGACATGATTGATTTCTACAATCATAAAGCCGCCTCCTAGAGGCTCCCCATTCACGTAAAACTTCCACTTGTCTACATACACCCCAACAGATTGGTTTTTACATTAAAATCATATTCTCCAAAGATATTTTTTTCCCTAAAACTCCATTTGTTTTTGTTTATTTTTCTTATTTTTTTTTGAAAGGTGGATGATTCATGCCGACTTGCTGGTACACTGCGCATTTATATAAATCTTATTAAACCGGTGAAAATGTCATTAAGACGTACATTAGATATGCTCCCGTCAAGTGAAACAGCTTCACCTGAACCAAATAGTCCATCTAAAGGTGCCAACTGTAATAATAATAATAATAATAATGAAAATGGCAATGATTTTGCTCCAACACCACCACGTCTAGTTTCATTTTTCCTGCCTAGAGGTACCTCAAAAGTTGTCTATGTTACAAGGTGAGTTTTAACCTCTTATTATTATTATTATCCATCTATTGTGTTTTAAAAATAATAATAATAATAATCTTGTTTTAAAGCTTGAACAAAGTCAAGGATGACTAGGCTTCTTCAGTTAGAGAGAATCATCAGAATCCATGGAGTGTGTGCTGGATGTAGTCATTTCATCCTAGTTTAGGACTCTTCAGCAGTACCTACCTATGTCACCATCTCACAGGGTATCGAGTGCACAGTGTCCTCAGATTGCAAGGCGAATATGTTGACGACTCAGCTATTGAAACGGAATCCAGTGGCCGCCAGCCTATGAACTCTTACTTCTGTTAATTTGAGATTTATAGTGTCAGTCGACCAAACTAGAAATCGATTTAATCTCTGCGAACCAACATTTGCCTTCGCTTCATATTGAAAATCAAATGGCTGGCCAACAAGAAACTCTTGGAACAAGCCAACCAAGAACCTATTGCTCAGCAGATATTCCGAAGAGGGGTCCATTGGATGATAACATCGCGTGCCAGGTCATAGCTCGAGTGGGAATCGAATGGGAAACGACGAGGTGGGAGTGGGAGTAGTGAGGGAAGGAGATTAGAGCCTATAGGCAATCATGGGGTCAACTATAGAAGACCACAGAGAACAAGAGAAAGTGGAGATGGGCTACTGTTGTTGTTCCACTCGGAAGCCGAGGGGAAACAGTAATAACAATTATAGACTGTCGGTGTGTGAGTTAAGTGTGGAGATGTAGAGGAGGTGGAGGAGTGCTATCCCGTTGATGTTGTCATTTATGTTTGAATATCCTTAGTTATGTGGTTCAGTGGTTAGGACTCTTGCCGACTATGCACATGGTCCGGGGTTTGATCCCCTGCCGACGCACACCTGATATCAATGGTCGGCCTGAAAAATTTGGGCTACCGATATCACATGCTGAAAATTCCATAGTTGTACCAAAAATACGGTGTGGAATCAAGCTATGATCAAAATAAATAAAATTAAAATAAATAAAAATAAGTAAATTTGATATCTGCTTGAGTATTCCGAATATTTTATCAATCTGAATTTGTTTGTCTGTTGGTGTAACGGTTGAACACGGGGTAGCGTTTGGTAAAAGTACAATTGTTTTGGCGAAATACTGAAACCTTACCACACTGAAGTCACCATTTGCCCATGCTCTTCGCATTGTGTTCTTTTTGTCTTCGTTTCATGCTTTCCTCATTGTTTCACAAAGAACTTTTCTCTATTCCATCTGTCACTCTGCTATTCAATATTCTTGCAGAAGACATAACACATAAAATATATTACTTACAAAATCTACTTAGTAACATACGCCATACTGCCATTGAATACATTGATAAAAGACACTTGAATATCTCATTGCGTGCTTCACGATGCTTCGGTAATAATACTATGTAAACATACTTACTATACAGAATTCTCAACGACGTTTATTACAGGATCTCCACGTTAAATAATAATCATGAGACGATATTGTTCCGCTTAGAAGCATGTTTTTTGCTCATTTCCTGCGAAACATTCATTGTAGTATAGGCCGAGATAATTTTGGGTATTTTTGTTAACCTTGTCGCCTAGGATAATTTTATTGCAAAGCTTTCACATTGTCTTGGCAAAGTTGAAGAACAGTGAACCAAAGCGGGGAGGTGGGAGGGTTATCGGACGACGCACCAATGGCCTTTAAACGGTCAATATCATCAACCCGACCAATTCGATCGTTGAGGTGAGAAATAGAGATAAACAACCATATTTAAAGATAGAAAAATGTAAAGAAAGATATGCTGTTTAGTCGTCTTACCATTCTCCAGCATTTCTTTGCGAACATGTGATCGCGCACTAGGGTTATCTGTGCGTTCGCCTCCTCCCCCCCCCCCCCCGCTCCCCGCCGTGGATCGCCATACTTTAACTTCGCCATTATCCTTATTCTCAGCAACATCGCCAGTGCTAAATTTAGTTCGAATTAAGGTGTAGAGGTATTTACCTCACCTTATTATTATTATTTCCTTGGGTTCCTAGTGGAACATAGGGCTTCAACTGCATGTCTCCACTTGTTTCTGTCTTCTGCTGTATTTTTCACCTGCATCCATGTTAGTCCATACTGTTTCAACTCCTCTTCACACGATCTCCTCCATGTCACCCTTGCACTGACGTCCTACTCGCCTCTTCCCTTTCGGGTTCCACTCGAACACTGGCCTGACGCGCGATGTCATCCAGCGGCCTCCTCAGCCAGTAAGTGTCCAATCCATCTCCACTTTCTCCTGCATATTTGTTCAGCGATTGGTTCTTGTTTCGTTTGTTCCCATAGCTTCTTGTTGGTGATTCTTTCCGGCCATCTGACCTTCAGTATAGAGCGAAGACAGTTTACCTCACCTGATTTTTTTCTTGTAGATTTTCTTATGTGATTGTATTCACTCGTATACGTTAGTGATCATCTTCTCGTTGGTCTGATATTTGATGATCTTTTGGTTGGAGTTTGGAATTGTATTGCTTCCCGTAACTGAGTTCGGCCTAGTGATTCTTATGCTTGACATCAAGTCCTACCCAACATAGTTTCATTCTGACGTGAAGAGACGAGTTAATCAACATAAGCTGTTTGACTCGCAGTTTAATTCATGATGCGCAGCATTTCTTCCTATTTGAGACTCGTCAGTGACACGTAGCTGTAATCCATCTCCAACGAGTGATGACACATACCTATTCGAGTCTCAGCGGGAACACAATCACTCACACTTTAGAGATGCAGGTGTACATTCGGATGATGAGTCTCAGATGGGACGAAATACACATTGTCACAATCAACCAAGAAATAACATTACACCAATCCTCAGATATCGTCGAAACGTCCTTACTAGAAGCGCTTACATGTCAGTGGAGAAACGCAGAATTAATCTGAGGGATAACTGTTTGATTCACTTACCTTTGGAAGTAAATTGTTACATAATTAATCGATAGCTTTTTAATAGGTAGCTACATTCTTTAACTATACATATAGTGTGTATGTTGTTTTCTATCGAAGTGGAAGTGAGAGGGAGGGAGGGGTTAGTTAGAACTATAAATCCATCAATTTGTTTTTTTTTTAAGAAAAAGTAATCAAATCAACGCAACGTTACGTAACAGCATGTTTAGCTAAATTCGTATTGCTTTAACATGTAATCTTACGCACTCTTTTTTCCTTTTCCACAAAGAAGTTACATAAGAAATCATTTCTACATGTTTGTGTGTGTATGTGTGCGCATGTGTGTTGTATGATATTTATTTCATATAGATGGTTGAATAATTAGATAGGTATAATACTGAAGGGAAAAACATTGAGAATCGCTGCCAATGATGAACTTTTGATTTGTGAAAGTTAGGCAGGTACACTACTAGTTAGTTAGTCGTATTGATTATTTATTTGACTGACTTGAAAAAGGCTAACAATCGGAAATGCTTTCTTGTACAGTGTTCAAAGGAGAGAGAGAGGTGAAATAACCACAAATACTCCTTAGCTGTAGTCACAGGCGCAATTTTTACTGCTATCTTTAATGTAAATACAATACTACACCTTGAGACCAAATCCTGAATTACAACAGCAACAATCCAATAGCACACAAAAGGAATTGCAAACAAACACTATTCAAGAGGGCCAGGACTCATTGCAGCACTCCCACCTTAAGGAAAATTGAAGAAAGATATCTCATGGATGTCTTCCAAAAGAATGGATGGATATCCACGGAATTTCATCAAAAGACATATACCCCCAAGCCGCCAACCTATCAAATCAAAAGCCCCCAAGGAAAGCACAAAGAAAATCGCCTTACCATATATAAAGGATATCTCAGAAATCACTACAAGACTCTTCAAACCTTTAGGAATTGACGTCGTATACAAACCACCAACAAAGTCACTTCACTCAATTCTATGTCAACCAAAAGACTCAACAGCGAAAGAAGATAGAACCAACATCATCTACAAAATAAATTGTATCAACTGCGAAAAACACTACATTGGCCAAAGTGGACGTCCCCTTCGTCTTCGTATCCACGAACATGGGCTAGCCGTCAAAAGACATGACATCCACTCCCCTCATATCACTATATACAGACAACTACGGACACCAATTCGACTGGGACAACGTTCAAATATTAGACAGAGGCATTCCAGTGAATCGTCAGTCAATAGACACATCGAGATAGACAAAATTTACCAGCCGATAAGAAAGAAATCTCACACCCAAAGGGTCAAAGTTCAAGTCAAAGAAACAATGAGTTACAATACAAGTAACCTAGAAGGTGTGAAAACACACAAAACACAACCAATCACGTCCAAGGTCACCAGGAGAGATGACTAATAAACTCGTGGAGAAATCTAAAAGCTCACTTCAACAAATTGAAGTATGCGCTGAAGATGTTACCTAGTAGGGCGATGAAAGCTTCGCAAATTAACTATCCAGCTCAGAGAACACAACCACATCAAAAACACCTTGAGAATGCCTGAGTTTCAACGTAAAATTTTGCACAGAAACCCACCAGTTAAAGTTACCATACTCCATATACCACACAAAGATGGAACAAAGAGAAAAAAATCTTCAAAGGTGATAGTTCGGTACGTGCAACAGATGGCCGTAGCCATCCCAACTGATGTAGCTTCAAAACCTCATTTGCTTCCTTTCCCCGTATGTAGCACTACGCCTAACCTCAATCTTATAATTATTATTCCCTGGAGTTCTGAGTGCGACTCAGGACTTCAACAGTACATATGCGTTTCATCCTGTTTTCTGTAGTCATTTTTTAGCTGACTGCATTTTTGCCCGTAAGCTCTTATTTTGGATTGTGAGGGCGATTGTTACTTCCCGGCTCCCCACACCGTGGAGGTTGGTTGCGTGACCGCAGAGTCCAGGGGACAACTGCTTGAGGCCGGTCACATGCGACCTGTTTTTGTTTGTTCCTTTTTATTTGGTGTGTCTCAGTAGCATATTTATCACTTCTGTCCTGTGACACGGCAGCAGGAAGCGCGGT